CTCTACTACGCGGAACATAAAATAATTGTTCATATTATGATTAAACAATACTGAATACAATATTTTAATATAATAATTACATGTTGTATTATACGTTAGGAGCATGATACACAATTACCTAYTCTGGATTAAAGCTAGTGAGAAGGGAAGCCAACTGTATGTGCACAAGAGGGTTAAAAATAGGTATGGGAGCGACTGTAAGTTCTATTTGATAAAATACATTGTAAAACTTTGTCTTGTGTAAACCACTATCTACCACCATCCGATGGCTCATATTATTATTACCTTTTGGGAGTCAACCGGAATTATAGATCATAAAATTAAATGGAAAGTTCTGCAAATATTGTGTACACAGAAATACAAATGTACCAATGAATTAAACAGCTCAACATTTATCTTATAGTTGCAACGCAATARAGCCCTGGGTCTATACTATGCAAATATATTGACCACAATATTAAATATAATAATTATATAATATGACCATAACAATATTATTTAAATTATGTACCCAGGTATAAGTAAAACTTTCTTATAATGTTTTAAAAAAAATTACTCGGTCTTCTCCTAGTGACACAATAGTTTTAAAAATACAAATTTACGRAATGCATCAATAAAAGTTAATTTTAAAAACAAAAATAATTCAAACAACCAACATTTTATAATTTATCATGGTTTTTTTCACTTAATTATATTTCCGTTATAACTTTGATAGTCCTGCACATTCAACAMGTAAATATGTATTATTATTTCTAAATTTTTGTACGAGGAAATATTTCACTCGTATTCTATAAAGCACAGATAACTTTAAAATAATTTGTAACTAAACCAGATGTAATATCTGTCGTTAACATGATTATCCGAAACGTTTATTAATAATTTAAAAATTATTCCAATAGATTTAAACWTTTACATTTACAAGTATCAACCAATTATTCATAAAATGGTATTTTTATTTTATAATTTAAAATATATTATAATATGTATGTATAAATTTCCTGGTATTTATTAAAAACTAAAGATGTATGTCGTTTAATTATTCAAATAAAAATAAAATATCAATCAAACATCTTATAAAATGTGTCCAACTTCATTTATTAATCGGTAAAATTACATCAGTCCCCACATCATTTGTATAATGTGTAAGGCACTAATGGTTAGGTTATAGCTAATAGCTATCATTATGCAAGTGCATAGGTTGTACTCAGTCATAGGGGTAGGGTATCCACTATTATTCGACATATAACCATAATATAAATTATTTCTAAATTTTATAAGTAGTAAAAATGAAATAAACATACTAAGCAACTAAGTTTTCGAACTTTTATAAGAATTTCAGTGAATGCATAAGAATATAGAATGATCATTTTATAACAAAACGGTAATCTCGGCTAGCTTATATTTCTGAAAATATATTATTTTTTTAAATATTATATTGTTTTAAATAACGGCATATAAATATATTAAATACCATGCTACATTAACACCCATGACAGTTAAATAATTCAGTTTCCTTAGTTAAAATATTAAGTGTGTATAGTATAATAATGCAAATTTATAGGTATTTAAATTAATAATAATAAATATTTGTAKCTACTATTATCTGTTTATATATGTTTAAAATGATAAATATATTTAGTCAAAAAATAATGTAAAATTTGCAYACGACAATAATGTAAATTACAATTAAATATATCTTGTTGATAATAGTAAGTAGAAAGTTAAGGGCTGAGCAAATAAATTATAGTCCTAGATACCTACGTATAAACCACATACAAGGTTTTAGGTGTATAACAATCGATACAATATGTCATCTTTGTGTGTACGCCAAATGGTATTTAAATTTAAACGCGGTCAATCCATAATCGAGTGCCAAAATAGTGTCCAATATGCGACTTATTTATAAAATTTACTTCAATTTCATTTAATAATATAAAACATACGTTAGTTTTTTATAGGTAACAGAAAAAATAAATTCAACAACTAAGGATATTATATATATATAAAATACATAAACACGGTACGCATCATGCAACAACCATAATATATAATATTTCATATATAATAATATATATTATACCTATATGATATATGTTATAAAAAGTAGTATACTTGCATAGTCATTATTTAATTCATATTATACTTAAAACCCCATTATAAATCATGAGTAATAAAAGTATAATAGATTAAACAACTTATAAATCTGAGTGAGAATATTAAACATTTGCACAGTGGAATTTAAAAGAATGAGTAAAATTAACTTTTAAGGGAAGAGACAATACATAGGCGTAATTTTAACTTGAACAATCAGGAGGGAGACTGTTGATACTTGGCTTGGGACCACTTCGCTTTATGACGTCTATACGTCAGTCCCTCTGAGTTCTGCTAGTCACTTTAATATTTGGCTGCTCCTTACAACTTAGTTCACTCAAAAGAACAACAGCTCTATTTAATAAAAATAATTTTAATCGACAAAAAATGGTAACCAAAGTAAGTACCAACGATTAAACTATAGTGCAATCATTTAAATTCACAAAGTTTTTAATGAAATAGATAATAATTATATCTTTAAAATTAATTTCTGTATTTTAGGACGATCTAGACAAAGACCAAATAGCTCGTAAGTATTATCGATTAAAAATATATTTACTTCTATTCTACGTAATCCTTACATGCCTAAGAAAAATTGTATTAAACAGTTTAATACCTAATGRAAATATTTATATCTTAGTACTAAAACGAGCTTTCGATGCCTTCGCTCAAGACAAAGGATACATTGAAGCCAACATGGTTGGTACGATTCTTCAAATGTTGGGTCACGACGTTTCCGAGGACCGGTTACAAGAAATTATTGCTGAGGTCGATGCGGATGGTAAATAATTAAGCTACTATAATTATCTATATAGTCATAAACTTAATTAATACTAGTTAAAATGCAAGTAACTAACACTGATACATCTCTTATAAAAGTTTGTCTACGTTATCTTCAAATACATGTATTAAAACAATTTTTTCAACTATTATACTATTATGGTAGGTATTAGATGATTCAATAATTATTATATCCATGATAATTATAGTAAAATGTTGTTTTTATTACCTAAGATATAGTTGGTGATTTCTCTTTTAGATGATTTGTTAATTTTAAACACTTACCTGTAAATAAAAAGAAACATAATTAATATTTTAATTACAGTCAACTTATTTTGAATTATTATTACAAAAACATTAATATATATGTTATTCAGTAACTTTTTAACAAACTAAATAGTTAGGTACATATAAAATTGTTTTCTTTGTGTTATTTAAAATTTAACTTAAAATATTATATACCTGAAACCAAATTTCCCAATCACAAAATAAACTTTTTCCACAATGTTTTAAAAAATTAAATAACAAAAAAATATCCCTATGTGTTTAATYAATTAACTTACAGGTCAACAGATCACTATTTAACACCAATTTTTAGTGTTTCATTAATTAACGGTTGTATAATATATATATATTATATTTATTTACATTATTTGATTCACTAAAATAAATACATTTGAATTAAGTAATTAAATAATTACCACATAAAATATTTAGAATCTATTATTATAGCACTCACACAAAAACAACATTGGAGCTTGGAAGTATGAAACTCAATCAGACACAAATATTGATAGACATACAAATTATTTTTGGCAATGTTTCAATAATATTTTTTTCTATGCATTCCCTTGTCTGATGTCGGAAAGTAAGCACTACAAATAACTAAAAATTGAGCTATGTAAATTGTAAATACACAATACCTAAATGAATTCTGAACATATTTAAATCACGAAAACTATTATTATTAGAATGGGTATATATACCTATATTCCACCAGTTACTAATAAGTAATGAAAAATATAATAAATTACTACAAATAGTATATATTATGTATTATCTTATTTACAATTAATATTTAAAAAACAAAATTGAATTATAAAGTAATAGCAAGTAACTACTATAAAATAATAGAAGTAATAACTTACTATAGCTCCCTGATATCTATCTATCTTAATAACACGTGATGCATGCATGAATTTTATGWGTATTATAAAAGTACTATCTTAATACCAAATAATCGTTTAAAAATCTATTTTTTGTTGTAAATTTAGTGTTATTGTAAATTGACTCATCGTCAAATTTGAAATTTAAAATATAATGTATGTTCTTTCCTCTCCGGCTTTTTTTTTTATAACAAGTTAGGAACATTTTTAAATTTTAATATTTTACACACTTAACMTCGATTTAAAAATAAAATATTTGAAAAAAAATCTTGAGGAAATAAATTTCACTCAAAGATTACAAATATATTATAAGTAAAAATCGAAAACTGGTTTTCAAACGCCAAAAACTTTTTTTTTTCAGGGTCGGGACAGTTAGAATTCGAAGAATTTGTTACACTAGCAGCTGGATTCTTAACTGAAGATGAACCGGAAGACGTGGAGGCTATGCAAGCGGAACTAAAAGAAGCGTTTAGATTATATGATAAAGAAGGTTTGATAAAAAAAATWATTTTATTATTTTAAATYAATTAAATTTTATATCACACACTAGGAAATGGATACATAACCACGGATGTTTTAAGAGAAATACTCAAAGAATTAGACGACAAAATAACAAATGAAGATCTAGATATGATGATAGAGGAAATCGATTCTGATGGTTCCGGAACTGTCGATTTTGACGGTTAGTAAAAAATTATCTATTTTTTTTTCTTGTTACGTCATTAAGGGGGTCAAATTGTTTGCACATTGCTTGACCCCAATCATATAACATCGTTTATTAACATAATAATATACAGTACATATACAACGTTAGATGATCCCTAAAGAGCCCAAACTTATTTGTTATCTAATAACTTTAATGATAACTTTAAATTTTCTGAATATGTATTTATAAGATAAAAAAAACTGGGAACGTCGTATACTCGTACTACCGTAAAATAGGTTTCGGAGCCTGTTGTTATTGAAATCACTATAATGGATAAAATATTGAATTTGAATTCAATGATAACCATCGCATACGAAAGACCATTCAAATCATTCCAACCATTTCTAAGATGGTGTGTATATTATTTCTGAGGAAATCTAATAATTTATTAATATTTATAATATAGTTTTCTATTAGTAATGAAGTATATTAAACTAATTTTTTCCAAAAATCCAGCATATTTTTTATTTTTCGTATAAATATAAAATTTCATTAAATTTAATTTTCAAACACTCAATAAAAATTAAAATGGCTTTAAATTTTTTTTTTT